CAGGTTCCTCTCTTGCAGGCTGTGAGCAAAAACTGAGTTAAATCAAAGCAATTAAATGAGTAAAAAGCAGAAGTGATATTTTGTGAAGGAAAAAAAAAAAAAACAAACCAAAAAAACCATCTGAACTGAAAATTTTCATTGATTTTAGAAGAAAAAAAAAAAAGAAAAGAAAAGAGACAATTTTCACGGGCAACAAAGTGCCATTTAGCTTGCTGTCTTACAGCCACTTGGAGTCTCCTCTATAAATGTCTGAAAATACTAAGCTGAAATGGGATGAGATTATCCAATTTTGAATTTAAGCACTATCACAGGAAAATTCATCCTACACAATGATTTGTTTGTATAAGCATGTAGGAATAATGCTAGAGGGCAGTAAAAACGGGAGGCTGAAGGGACATACGGAAGAATCCACTTCTAGTGGTCCCGCTGGTTTTGGATGAGTGTTCAGTGAGACAGCAATTCCAAACATGACAGAAGCTCAGATTATGATAATACTAGTTTCTTGCTCCAGTGTCAGTGAATTTATGCATACCAATCATGTTTGCCTCTGTGCAAGAGGTGGATTTTTTCCACCGTAGTACTAGAGTTACAGCAGAGAACCAAACTACTGGATATATGCAGTGCAAGATTTTGAGAGAGTTTCTAACTGTTATTACAGGATCTGCCATCAAACCAAACTGAAAAGTTACATAGCATGTATTAGAAGCAGGCCACCAGTAGCAAACACCAGGACAGTGGTGGATGTGGTTTGATTTCTAGAGCTGGGGAACAGCTCAGCAATCTTCACTCCTCAGAACTTACAATTTTCAATACTTACCTTCTTCATAGGAATATGTTAGAGGTAGTGTTAGTTTAATACTAGTTGCAAAATAATAATAATTATAATAATAAGATCTCAATGGAGTTAGGCAAGTTCAAACTGAAGTGACTGTAGTGAAAACTTACTGTTTGGGTGGCTGGAGAACCCTATTCTGATATCACAGAATACATTGTATCTCAATGTATTACTGATTGGTATTTATGCTTCACAGCCTCACAATAAAAAATGTAGTCACTAGAATGAGAATAGATGAAATACAGTAAGGCAAAGTGAGATTTCATGGAGAGGGAAAGAGAGAGGATCAACCATGCAAAGGCTTTGACAAATCCTTCATGCAAAAATTCATCTCCTTTGCAGTTTTATCTCCAAATTGTTCACTTTACCACAAAAATTTTCTTGCAATAGCTGAAATTGGTATATTAAAATAAAGCATTTTAGTAATATCAGGGGAAACAAGGATATTTAAATTGGACTTCTTTCTGTTCAAATCACAAGGAGTGTGAACTTGCTTTAAGCCTTATCCAACGCCCAGAAAAATGAGCAGAATTATCTTTACCATGTCTTTGGTTTAGCTGAAGTGTTTATGGCTAAAATTACCACTGAATTCCTTGATTTTATTTACTTTATGTGAGAATTTGCTTCTTTTTGGTTTGTGAAAGTTTAAATGCTCTTTATCTTACTCTGGAGTTTATTCTGAATTTGTTTCAACACATTCCAAATCTCACTGCTTGGGAAAAAATCCACTGAACTTGCTGGATTTCACCTCATTATTGTAAAACCTCGTGTTTTGCATCCTGGTTAGGTGCAGTTTCATTTTAAAATAAGCAAACGAACAAAATACCCTGGGTACACCCACAACTGATCCGAGCTTTGTGCAGAAAAGTTCATGAACTTTGTTAGGAGCTCTAAGTTTGTAACGAATGCAGCTAAGTTCTATTTGGCATGGTTTTACTTCCAATACTGTGGCTTGATTTTAGATATATTGGAATGGAAAAATCTACACACAGCCACCACTTCTGTAGTTATGCCAGCATAAGCACAAAGCTATTCCTTGTCACTTGGGACTTAAATCAGAAACATCCAAGCCAATAAGGGAAAACCAAGAAGGTTTACATAATTATGCAAAATCTGTCCTGTTTGTGATATCATATGCTTTAAAATTCTGAATAGAAGTGTTTTCTGTGTCATGCTATGGACCTGATCCAGAGAAAACAGCCTGTCAGATGCCTTTTTAATAAGACCCAAAAAGCAAAGTTCAAATGGGTCTCATGGATGTCTTACAAATGAATTAGGGTGTGTGAGTCTGGGTACATGTTACACCACAGCATGGAACCAGGATGGGCTCACGAATAAAACTCACGCTGCTCATTGCTGCACTTTTCCTTTTGCTGAAATCAGCCTTCCTCGAGGCCAGCTAAAAGGACAAATGAAACTGGAACATAATTCAATACTTATATCTGCAGCACACAAGTTCTGAACAGTGCTGTGCTCACTGCTGCAGAAGCAACTGCACATGCTGAAAGAAGAGAATATATAGATAAATAAGGATCTCCTCACAAAAGATACTCTGTGCTTTATTTCAGATTAGTATGTACATTCACCATTCCTTTTTTTTTTTTTTTCACAGCTTAAATGATAATACCTAAATTACTCCATCACAGCAAAATCAGAACTTTTTATGTTATTAATGTGTACTGTTAGGAAGGAGCTTGCATTGGTTTCTTATTTTAGACCTTGCTTAGGCTCTGCCTACTCCATTTCAAAGGAGTCCTTTCGCTTTGATGTCCTGCTCTCTACCCAGATTGCCAGAAGGCTTTCAGTTGCAAATGCAGGTGTTTCCAACTGTTAGATGTGGCATAGTATTCATCAACTAAATCAAAAAAAGGTATTAGTAGGACACTTAATTTACATAGGGGACAAAATAAGAATAATTGGCGAGGTACCACAAGATACACGAAGATGGTGAGATGCATTTTGCAGTGGATGGCCAAAGTTTGCATCTATATTGCTGCTTTCCATGTTCTATATATTCAGAATTCAACATTTAAAGCACTGTTTTTCCAAGAGATTACATTGCCCATCATGTTGGTATGGCTTTTGAGAAGTACAGTTTTCTTTACAGATAGCATCTGGAAATCATTACTCCTTAAAAAGGTTATTTTTTGCATGCTGATATTTTTTCCTAATTTTTTGTTCTAGCATGAGGGAAACCGTCCCCTGCAAAGGCCAGCTCTTTGCTGAGCTGCTGAGTTATCAGAAATGTGAGTGATCAGGTCTGCCTCCCAAGGGCAATTCTGAGGCTTGTGGGACAGCAAAATGAATGCCTCAGTCATTCTCCCATCATTTAACTCTTGCACTGTCACCCAGTTAGCTCTGTGCACTGTGTATCTGAAGCAGAGGGACATCCAATGGAGCCTGGTGAGTTGGGACCTTCCTCGGAGGTAGAAATGTGCAGTTCTTCTTCCAGATGCAGAGGGCTTTCTGCTCAGCTCACCCGCTGCATCCATGGGGGCAGAGTACTGCTGGTAAGAAAGAGCCAGAGCTGCTAGATAGGCAGCAAAAAAGCAAGTGGCCTGAGATGGTAAGGTGAAGGAGAATCATTGTGCGGGAGGATTAAGAGGAAGACTGAGAACATAAGATGACACTACGAAAGGAGACAAGAAAGCAAATTATCTTTCCTTCTGGTTCTGTAAGCACAGTTTTCCTGATCTCTCTTCTCTGTATCAGCTCTCACTGGAGGGAAGCTATCTCCTGCTCACCCCCCATCCTCTAGGACACCCTGATGGGCCTCCATTTTTGAACATCTAGAAACCCTGTGCATTTTGTATTTGTTAATACAAGTGTGGATTCAGGCTATTTCAAGTACAGTAAGCATCTCCATGATTCATACAGCTCAAAGGTTCAGAGGGAGCCTTTTGATATGTGATAGATGCACTAGCTCAAATATCAGATTTTGCACGTAGGGCTTTTTGAATGTGGATAATCTAATCATCAGCCTTGAAAGCTTTTGAGACTGAAAACATGAAACTGTTCCTTTCTGGGAGAGTTTCTCCTTTCCTCTTTTCTTTCTTTTCTACAGGAGCCCCACTCAGTGGGCACGCTTAAAAAGCACACAGCGTGGCACTGAGAGATGGGCACTTTGGTTGGTAGCACTGAAGGCCGTTGTTTTCCATTAGCAGGCTGTACCCAATGGGAGCTGAGATCTGCCAAAGCCGGTGTTCAGCACTGGTCAAGAAGTAGTGAATCATCTTATCCACATCAATGTGAGAATTCTTTCTTAATGGCAGATCTCATTTAGACCTCTGGGAAAAGTTTAATTTCTGTCTCTGACTTTCAGACAAAATAACTTTCCAAAAGCTCAGGAGAGCAAATGACAAAGTACTGCTTCTGGTGCCTGCTAAGCATCCTACGGATGCCTCTTGGTTTTCTGGCCGTGGTCTCACTGAGGTTCTCCTCTCTTTGCCCTTCCGAGGCACCCCGGGAGCCGCACCAAACTCGGGAGCAGTTTCTGCAAGGGCACAGCCAGCAGCGGAGCGAGGGGAGGAGAGCAGCCGCGAGGCGCCCGGCTCTCACACCCGGTTCCCTCCTCAGCGGCAGCTCCTCAGCCATTTTGGGCCGACGCGCCGGGCTGGCGGGCGCTGCCGGCAGGGCTCGGCCGACAGATGCCGAGCTCAGGCCGGGCTCCGCGCGCCCCATTCACGGCCGCGTGCCTCACGCCGCCGCCCCGCACATGCCCAGTGTCGTGGCGGGCGCCGGCCGTGAGTCAGTGGCGGCGCGGCTGACGGGGCAGGGGCGGGCCCGGCGCGGAGGGCGGCCCGCCTCGGCCGGGCGATGCCTCAGCGCGGCGGCAGTCGGGGGGCGGGCGGATAGCGGCGGCGGGGACGCGGCGCGGCCGCCCTGCCTTTCCCTGCCCGCTGCCGGCCCTTCCTCCACCCCTTCCCTCGCTTTCCCTCCTCCCCCCCCCCCCTCCTCGCTCCGGCGCCCGTCTCAGCCGGCGCTCCGGGCGGGGAGGAAGGGCCGGGAGCCGCCTCCCGCTGCCCCTGGCCGCCCCCGGCCGCCCCCTCCCCATGCAGCCCGGCCCGCCGCGGGGAGCCCTCCCCGGGGGGATGTTTCCGCGGCCGCCGCCGGGATAAGCGGCGCCCGTCCGCCCCCGCCTCGGACGGAGGATGCTGCCCGCGCCGCGGCGGGCTCTGACTCGGGCAGCGGCAGCCGCCAACCCCTCCTCGGCTCCGGGCAGCGTCGCCGGCGAGAGATGACTTCGAGGCACCAGGCGGACTGGATCCCCTACAGGTAGGGGCGGCCCCCGCGGCCGGGAGGGTCCCGCGGGACGGCCGCTCCGGGACGGCCGCGAGAGGGAGGGCGGGCCCGGTCCCGCCTGCGAACTCGGGTCCGGTCCCGCGTCGTCAAGTTCGGGGCCGCTCCCGGGGGAGAACCGCCCTAAGCGGGCGGGCGGCGCACCTCCGCTGGCCCCGCTCGCTCCGTGGCGTTAGGGTCCCTCTCCGTCCCTCGGAGCGGCCGTGGCGAGCGGCGGGATCGCCATGGCAGCGCCCGGCGGGCGGCCGCCATTGGCTCCGTCGTTGCCATAAGCTACCGGAGCCGCCGCGGCCGCTGCCCGGGAGCCCCGTGCGTCAGCGGGAGCCGGGCCGGGCGGGAGGAGCGCTATCGCCGCCCGCATCGCCCCAGCGCTCCGGTCGTTGCTGGAGTAGGGGATATAGCTCGGTCCTGGGCCGGGGCTACCGAGCTCGGGGCGGGGATCTGTGCGGTAAAACCCCGAGCGCTGTTCGGGCTGACCGCGTTGCGGCTTCGTTGTGAGAGTTGGAGTCTTCTCAAACTATCGCAAAAGGAATCGTGCGCGCCTTAAAAAGGTGTCCCGCGTAACGCAGCACGGCGTGCTTGCTTCATTCATTTCTTTGTAACACGGAATTTTCACGTTGCCCCGTGGGTTGTGGGAACAGACAGCGATTTAGTTAGTTGTTCTAGAGAATCCTAAGTTCAAAAAGAATTACACTGTGCGCTTCATGCTAAAGGCAGCTGTTCTGTGGCTCCATCGGTCCCACACTGAGTGGCAGATTTTCTAGTGAAGGTGTGTGACTGCTGATGCAATGTGACACACGTAAATCACTCCCTGAGACGGAGAGGAAAAAAAGAACAATGGGTGCCAAAGTGGAGGTCTGTTGGTTTAACCTGTGCTCATGATCCTCATGACTGAGGAATGGGAAAGAAAGAACACTGCAGCGAACCCAAGAATGTCTCCGTTTGCTCCCATGGCTTTTTCAGAGCCTGTGTTTTAAAAAGATGTAAGGAATTGGTAATAAGCTTCCAAAAATGACTAGCTGGTGATTTCTGATGCAATTTGAAGCCGATGTAATGGCGGGAAAAATACCACAAGAACAGCTGCTCACGACTCTTCCCGTAACTGTGCCCCTGTTCTCCCACCATATTCAAGGCTCTGCAGAGGCTGGGGCCGAAAGTTCACTCAGGGGTTTTGTAGCGAAGGCTTCGAGGAAGGAAATAAAGCATCTTGTTTTCACTGCACACTGTGCAGTTAAAGAAGCCAGCAGAGTAGATGCAGTAGATATTCAGAGAAACACTGATGTGACGATGCTCACATGTTTTCTAATGTAATGTTCTTCACAAGTGTTGACCGTACACTTATGGTTAGTAACTGCTAAAAGCCTCCCAAGTCGCAGGGCAGAGAAGCCTCCCTCCTGCTCTGAAACGGCCTGCTTTAAACCTCTGCTGTGATTTGCACTCTCCCAAAGGAGTTGACTCATTTTTTGGTTTACAGGGAGCTAACTCCAGAGTTCAAAGTAAATCTTTGCAAATCTTGTGGAATGTGCTCATTTAAAATATCTTCCGGGATCCCCGAAATGCATTCATCTGGGAAATGGGAATCTGAATGTGTATGTGGCTGGCATCATGTTTGAGAAAGTTTTATTAGTAAATTAGGTCAGAATACCATTTTGTGGAAGTGAAATGCACAACGTGAGGGAGCAGCCGGGTGTACGCCTCTTGGAATGCAGATTGCATTTCCATCCTGAAGATGCTGAGAACATTTTAGGTGAATTAATAAAAAATGTTAACCGATTCATTCTGTGTCAATGCTGGCTTTTTCAAGCTGAGGCGGATGAAAGGCTCATTTTATTTATGGAACGTAGGTTGTGGTTTGGATACTTTGCTCTGTATGCCTTCTCCTTCTTTTCTGTATTCTGCTTTTGAAACACTAGTAGTCATAGGTTGAGGAGATTTGAGTTTACAGGATGATAATAGTTATGTACATGATTTCACTCGTGACCTTTTTTTATTATGCTCATTTTCTTTGTAGCTTTTAGGAATTCACTTTGAAGTTTTAAGCTTGTGCTTAGAAATTGAAGCTATGAACAGTCACTACTTATTTATTTGCAAGGTGAAGGATTACAGTTGGATGAGAATTGTGTTGGAGCAGAGCTGTGCTGTAAATTCATGAATCATGGCAATTAAAGCAGCTAAGAAGGCTTCTGAAAGCGTGATGTATAAACAAGTTCTGGAACAGGGATGTGCCTGAAGATGAAGGGTGCCCCACGCTTGTTGCTATGTGTTTATTTGCTATAATATCTATCTGAAAGCATCAGTACTGTGAGGGCAGCAGCACAGGTGAGGTGCTCACCCTCTCTGCGAGGTGCAGTTTGTGACTGCAAGTGCATCGCAATGCAGGCGAGCTCTCAGCTGCCTCCCATGGGGAATGGCATCGATAATTTATGAGAGCTGTTTTTTCTAAAGAAAAGGGTACAGAGAGCATGTGTCTGCTCTGCTCTGAATTAGGCTGTCTTGCCTCACGTTTTTGAGCTGAATAAAAGTAGCCTAGTTGTGTGCTGTTAAGACATTTAAGACAGAGCTGGTTGTCTGTGCTCTGATATAGGATATAACCATAATACTGCACAGAGCCTCCAGTTGAGATCAAAGCCCTGTTAGGCCCAGTGTCAAGATAAGGAGCTGTACAAGCATGTCGTCAGCAGCAATTGCTACCCTGATTCTGGTAGCTGAAATCAACTGGGTGGAAAAGAGAGGAGAGGATAATAGTATCACTTCGGTTTTGCCAGTGAGGGAAATAAAAAGACCAGTGGAATTTGTAGAGAATTGGCTGAAGTGGAAATGGGACAAGGCTCAAGGGAGATCAGCGCCTGAGCTGGGAGCGAAACACTCATCCTATCAGTGTGCTAAAGGGGGATTTCAGTTGGACGGTGAGACTGAGGGGGCTTTTCCATCTCTCCTAGGGTGTGCTCTGCACTGTGTGATAGACAGTGGCTCCCCAGCTGTCCTATAATATTTTGACCTCTGGCTACGTTTACAGTGTCGATATCCAGATTGAGAGTAAAACTCATTTCATAACAGGCCAATGGGCCTCTGGTAGTGACAATCATTTGCAGATTTCTGGCAGTGACAATCATTTGCAAGCCATCTGTGCCAGATTTGGATTGCAGACGGAAAATGGCTATGAAATGTTATATCTCCTCTTGCAGCTCACCGAGTCAGACGATTTAGACTCTTATGCCTGAGGCTTTTTGGACTTCCCTTAAAGCTGCTTGCATTTAGACATGTAAGCAGCAGCTTTTCTGGAAGATGGCACTTTCTATTAGTAACTAAAAATTGTGTTCCAGAGAGCTGGATTCTTTTCACACTTCCTCCTCATTGCTCTTCCCCTCATACTGATGGCTTATTTTCCAATCATTTTCTTCTTTCTGTTGTTTCTCTTTATGAACAGACCTCTTTTTGCCATTTTTTCCCTACACCTTGTTGTGCTCACTTCTTTTTTGTTTCCTTTTTTCTTGTTTCAGCTTATTCATGATGATAGAATTCTGTCTTGCCCGCTATATGGTATCTGCAGAAGATCTCTCTAAATATCTTCCCTTGAATTTGTTGCTGTGTGCTATATGATGGTCTGTCTCAGACAAACAGGTGGCCGTGGGGAGCTGAAGAATTGCTCTCTCACCTTCTGCAGCCTCTTCTATGACACAGTAACAGGATAAGGCCAGCAAGTCCAGAGGGCTCTCAGCTGAGAATATGGCATCTCTCCAGGCTCTGTTATCTTATGGATCTCGGTAATATTATGCAGATGTACAGCAAATGAGTCTTCAGTCTAAAGAATTGTCAATGTAGAAGGCAGGTGCAAGGGAAGGACATGATGTATGTGCAAAAATATTGGGGTCACCATTGGCGTAATTACTGCTCTCATTTTTCATACAGATGTATGATCATCAGCTGCTTTTGTCTGTTCTGATCTTGAGAAAATAAGAAGGAAGAGAATAGTGACTTAAGTAGATAAAGCTCTCCCAGAGAAGGCTATATAGAGCATGAAAAGGTCACTGCTTCTACCAGCACAAGAACTATGCAGATCTTGGATGCTGACTCTGACAACTCAAGTGACCAAGTCATTCTTTCATGAAATTGAGTTTTGTCTTGAGTTCTGAGTTTACCAAAATTTAGCCTTGAACTGCAGATTTTAGTGGGTATCTCATGGTTTGAGATGCAACTCTGAATATTTTAATTCATAATTCATATAACTCATTTGACATAGCTAATGAAATCACAGGATGAAGATTTTAGTGGTGATTTTAATTGTAATCACAGTTCTAACTACCTGTAGGTGAGGAATTATGAGGTGAGGAAATACCTTGATTAACTTCAAATGATGTCTAAGTTGGAAATTGTGTCTGCAAGTGAAATACAGTATTTGATCCATGTTTAGGGAAAGCAATAAAGCAGGTTTGTCTTTCAGGTATGCTATCAATTTGAAAGCAGAATGAATGAAGCTGAAGGCTAAGTGTTTCCACTCGTGGTATCTGTGTTATGTCAAGAAGTGCAAGGAAAATTGATCTCACTTATTTCTAGAGTAATTCGTTGCTAATTCATACTAGTAGTCCAGCAGCATTTTCAATTGACTACAGTAATAAAAAATATACTGCAAGGTGTTGCAATTCTCTCTTCCACAAATCTGGGGGAAGTGTTGGATGTACTGTAGAATGTAACAGATAACTTGTCTGGATGATGACTTGAATTAACTTCTTAGGTTGGGTTGAGTAGCAAGTGAGAAACTAAGATGCTCAGTGTACCTTGGAAAGCATCCCACCAATTCTGGCTGATGTAAATGCCAAGACTCAAGCCAGGAGAATGATTTTCCTTTAAATAAGCTTTTCCAGACCTAGGGATAGTGTGAAATCTCACATGCCTGTCTCAAGTTTAGGTTAGGGATGTGGGGAAATAATACATCTTTTGGGGCGCTGCATCTGTAGAGCAGTGTTAGGTAACATTAA